GCTTAAGTGTGGTTGCATAGTCATGCAAATCTATATGCAAATAGATGCAAATAGCTTGGTTCACACTGCTGAATAAAAAGCACTTCCCACCATGCCTCCCTGGGGGCTAGAAACCTGGACACCCTGCACCCGTCTGGTCCAGCCAGCCCGTCCCTTGCGTCTTTCAGTGCGCGCCTGCCTGGGAGCCGCTGTGGAGCCTGTTCCCGGGGGGCCCGTTCAAAGGATCCCTCCCGCGGGCCGCGTGGGGAGCCCAAACCGCCCTGGTTTAACCCAACCCTTTGCTGGGAACCTCGCGGAGACGCCAGGCCTGGCTGGGCCTAGAGGCGGAACATCCCCTGCTCCCCGGGGACGGGTCCCTCCAGGACAGGTCCGTGGGAGGGGCCGCATGGAAGGCAGGCAGCCCACCCAGCTGTGGTTAGTCCCCATCCTCTCCATCCCCAGCCCCTTCTTCCCCTGCTTGTCGGTCCAGGGCAGCCAACCCTGCAGGCCCTCCTGGGCCCTGGTGATGCTGGTCCTGTTTCCATGGAGCTGTCACCAGAGACGGCAGGAAGAGGCCGTCTCTCTGGGCTGCCTTGTCGGTCACCAGGGCCCATGGAGGGCACAGCGGAGGCCTCCCCAGCCTGGGCGCCCTTCGAGCAAGTCTGTAGGCCGGGGTGGGGGATAGCAAGAGTGACAAGTTGGGGGGGTGCAGAATGAGACCCCCCCCCAAGGGCTTTCCGAGGTGCACGCTCCACCGCTGCTCCCTCCTTTCCGGTGGCTGCGCTTGGACCCCCGGGGCTGCTCCTGAAATGTTAAACCCGGGGAAAATCTGCCCCCGTCATCCGCAGCGCTCCCCTCGCAAACCTGCCCCGCCCCAGGCAACGGGCCGGCGCTCCTGCTGATGGAGGCGGGGGGCTGAAAGAGCCTGGCCGTGGCAGCAGGGGGCTGGCACGTGGGGCGCTGGCCCCTCCCCTGGCACTGGGGCCGCACTGGGGTGTTCACTCACTTGTCTGATCGGAGCTGGTGCGGGGGGGGTCTCGGGCTCACGGTGCCCAGCCCTGCCAGCGCCCCTCCGAGCAAAGGCAGAAGGGTTCCCGGCCCCTGTCGCTCTGTGATCCGGCTCAGCGCGAGTTTCGTGGCTTTGCCAGGTCGTCCCTCGGGGGGCTGACGCGTCCGTGGTGCACGGCCAGGAAAAAGAGCCAGGGTCACCTGACAGTCACAGGAGGGTGTAGAGGGGGGAAGGGCTGTGCTGGCCACCCGGAGACACCGGTGCTGACCAGCTGTGTGCCCAGGCGTGGGCAGGCTGTGCCAGCAGCTTCCCGGCTGCTCCGCTTGTCACCCTGGCCAACTTGTCTAAGTGCCTGGCTCACTTGAAGATTGGCAACGGTATTTCGGTGCCTAGTGATGCCAGTGGGAGCCGAGCCAGAGTTCTGAAAGCACCCTGCTTTGGTGCCCTACTCCCTTGGACAGTCAAGGGGAAGCAGGCCCCTAACTCATTCAAGGGTTACTGTAAATTCCACTCGGTGCCTTTGGCCTCTAGTCCCAGTTTTGCCCTGCAGTGCTCCCTCTTTGATACTGATCTGGCCTAATCACTTCCCAGACCTTCATGGATTTATCTTCACATGCCCCTCTGGGGTAGCACTTGGCTACTGTGGCCATTGAGCAGGTGGGGAAACTGAGGCACAGGGCGACTAAGTGACTTGCCCACGGTCATGGAGGGAGTCGGTGGCAGAGCAGAGAATGGCATGCTGGTTTCCTAAGTCCCAGACTAGAGCCCACACTCCTCCTTGGGCTGATGTCCCAGCAACTGGCTGGACACTAGTTGGAGCTAGCCTTGCTCAGCACCTCAGACAGTCTAAGAGGGAAAGGCCCCTGGACACGGCAATTGTGACCTGAAAGCCCCAGGGCAGGGGCCAAGGCCCCTCCACCCCCCATCTTCTGTGCTTTGCATTATTGCCTGCTAAATATATCTGCGTGCCTTATATAAGGCTAGCTCCACGGCCTGCCCCCGCTTCCTGCTCCCGCCTCAGGAATTTTAGAAATAAACGGATCCCAGCCGGGCTGGCTGGTAGCTCCCGGGAGTCTAAATGCAAAACAACCCCCTGCAGCAGCTTCCAGGGAGCGGGGAAGAACTCCGCCCCTGAACGTGTTTGTGCCGAGCAAGCGCGGAGCCCAGACGAGACGCTGTGCAGTGCAACCGTCTTGTGAGGCGTCCGGGACAAAGGGCAAAACCGTGTAAAGGGCAGTGCCTGCTGTGGCCGACCCCTTCCCGCTAACCCAGACCCCTGCGAATTTTCACAGCGCCCGGCAGTCCTGTTGTGCACCCAGCTGGCCAGTAACGAAGGCCACAGTGATCCACCGTGCGGACTCCTCCCTCGTTCCGGGAGCCCCTCAGGGTGGTGTCCTGGCTGGAAGAATCCTTACAAGGGGGGCGTGTCCCCCTCCCCAGAAAAAGTTTCATAGTCTGTGGCCACGAGGCTTCCCAAAGGGACCGATTACATGCACGAGGCTCGTGGCCAAAGAGGCATCTTGGCGTGTGTTTCGAAGAGCAATAGAAGCAGTGGGATAAAATCCAGGCTGAATAAGCAGAGAGGGGGGTCTCTGGCTGTGGGAGCCCCATTCCTTGGGGGATTTTAAAATGGACGGGACTGATCCCCCGAGACTCCTAGAGAATCAATCCTGCATGTGCCACTGGATGTCACAGTAGCTGAGTGAGGGCCCCAGTGCGCTGCGAGCGGCACAGACTCACCCAGACAGTCCCAGCTCTAATACGCTCCTGGTGCGACGAGACAGGGCCCTTCTGCGCATGTATCAGATGAGCGTATGAATCTCTAGCGCCTTCGTGCCATTTCTCATCCGCTCATCTTCAAGTGCTTTACAAAGGAGGTCCGTGCCATCTCCCTAAGATACATGGGGGAAACTGAGGCACGGGGAGCGACTTGCCCAAGGTCACCCGGTAGCTCAGTGGCAGAGAAGGGATAGAACATCGCTCTTGATTCCTAGCCCAATGTTCTATCCGCTATGCCACACGTACACCCCCAGCAGGAGAAACTGAGGCATGCCGCGAGCACACGATTTGCTCAAGGCCCCGGGGACAGTCAGTGGCAGAGCTAAGAACTGAACCCAGGTCTCCTCCCCAGTGCTCTCGCTGCTGTCAGTCCCCCTCCCCTGCGCGCAGCCCGGTCCTGCGCTCTGCACTCTCCACTTCTGACCGGCTCTGGTGTTTCTCTTTCCTTGGCACGGGCCGTTTCTGTTTGTCAGTAGAAGATTCCATCACGTTGATTGCGGTTTTGGCTGGGGGCCTAACGATGGGGCCCCCCCCCCCCCCCGCCGCGCTCTCTTATGT